AACAATTTACAGCTACATACCCAAGAGCCTGAACGAGTCTCAGAAACATACCATCCAGCAAAAGAGGCAGAGCCCTAAGTCTATTTATAGAAAGCTCCCAAACTAGTAAAAGTGGTCAGAAGTCACCCTGGGGTATTCTATGGGAGATTCTACAACAAAGACAACTGTCACAGCTAGCTTCAGTCGTCAGCTGGACATAACCCAGAGTAACTTGTGAAGAGAGACCCTCAAATGAAGAATTGTCCAGATCAGATTGGCCTGTGGCCTTATCTGTGGGGCAATTTCTTGGTTGCTAACTGATGTAAGAGGGACCAGCTCACTTAGGCAATACCATCCCTAGTCAGGTAGGTCTCGGTTGTATAACAAACTTAGCTGAGGGGAGCAAGCCAGTAAGCAGCACTCTCTGTGGTCTCTTCTTCATTTTGAACTGGAGGAAATAAATCCCTCTGCAAGTTGCTTTTGGCCACAATGTTTTATCATAGCAACAGAGAAGCAAACTAAAACAGACCTTAACAAGGATGGGGGACAGCTCAGTGGCAGTGCTTGCCCAGCATATGTGTGGTCCTGAAATAAAACCCGGTGTGTGGGTACGCACGGATGCACACAGCCACTGTGGACTGGATCACTTAAAGAACACACACATTTGCTTGATGTTCTGGAGATTGCTTATCATGAGACCAACGTGTCTGTAGACCCGATGCCTGCAAAGGCTGCTTCCTGGTCCGTGGTTAGCTGTCTTCTTGCTGTGACCACAGTCAACAGGAAAGAAGCCACATGATGTCCCTTGGAGGGCACTAATCCTGCCACAAGGGCTCCTTTTCCCCTATCTCATCACTTTAAAAACATGATATTTATGTATATGTATGTACCCATTTCTCTATAAGTGCACCATGTCCTTGCAGGTGTCTGTGGAGGCCAGATACCCTGGAACTGGAATCACAGGTGGTTGTGAGCTGCCATGTGGGTGCTGGGAGTTGAACCTGGGTCCTCCTGAAGAACAGCTAATGCTCTTAACTGAATCCTTACTCCTTCAGACCCAATCTTTTCACTTCTTAAAGACCCTCTCCTTGAGATTGTCCCTAGGGTTTAACAGGTGACTTAAGATGGACATCCACATTCAGGGAGAGCGGGATGAGGCAGGCCTGGGGTGGCTAGCTGTGTCTCCCCTCCCGTCAGAGGGGCCGGTTACAGAAGAGAGGACATAGTAAGTCTAATCACTTTATGATTGCCCACTGGGGACACATAACCTTTGTGCACATTCATCAGCTTGGATCACTGTGACAAAATGCCATGGACTGGGGTGCCTTAAGCAGCAGAAATGTATTTTCTCACAGCTAGAGGTCACAGTCCCAAGATCAAGTCCAAGATGGAGAGTCTGGCCATTATGATTCTGTGGAGAGCACTTTCTTCCTGGTTTGGAGGTAGTCCACATCTCTCACCTGGTGCCTTGTGACCTAAAAGGCCATAGGTGAGCAGGCCCTTCTGTCTCTACTATCCACATCACTAATCCTAACCCCTCCTGGAGGCCTGCCTCTGGGATCCAGGCCTCAGGATTAGAGACACAGCCTGGCCCTCTGGATGTCAGAAGGAACACAGGAAACACTCATTGGGCAGCGACAGCAACACACACACATACACACACACACACACACACACACACACACACACACACGACAGTTTCTTAGGAGGAGCCACCAGAGAGTTCAGCAGTGAATGAGGAGCAAGGAAGAGAAGGCATCTCTGTGGAGACCCTCCCAGCATGAGCCGTGAAGACTCTGTGGCTCCAGGGGACATGGAGTGGAGGCTGCTCTTCAGTGTGGAGGAGACAGGGGCTCAAGTGGACCTTGCAGGTACATCTGTAGCTTAGTGCCAGCTGTCTTCTTCATCATCATGACCCATTTCAGACAGGTGTTTATCTGTTCTGTTCATGCCCTACCATGGGGACATGTCTGCACAGCAGGGGCACAGCGACATTCATCGTGAATGCAGGAAGGCAGAAGTCTGTGGAGAGAGTATGTGGGGCTCATGCTTCTTCCGGGGTAGTGACGGACATGCACAGGCATAGAAGAGGGGTAGTGGGTTCTGTGGCTGAGGGGTACAGGTGTCGGGGAGGAGGCCCAAGGGGGAGGCTTGGCTCTGACTGAGAGTCAGGGAGTGTTGTATTGGGCTATCCTCCAAGCCAAGCTCGCCACCATCAGGAGGCCAGCTGGGCCTGTTCTCAAAACATCGTCCCTCCTAGACAGCTCGACTGCTGACTTTCCTCCTAGAATGAGGGGTGGAAGAGTTATAGGATATCCAGCTGCCACTCTCAATTGGTTGTGTGTGATTCTACTCTACTCTAGTTTTGTGTGGCTTAAAGGGGAGAGGGGTTCTCAAGGAGAGACTAGAGTATATAAGTAGGGCAGGACCAAAGAATGGGTCTTTACTATCTCTGCTGGGTGCAGACCTTCCAGTGTGGCTGCTTTCAGGTCACCTATACCCCTCACTCATGGCTCTATGAACAAGCCTAATACATTCAATGGTTCCCAGGGTGGACTTTGGTAGATTCCAACTTTTTGTCACTGGGACCTTGGTGGGTGGAATGTAAATGTTGCCTAGTCCCTCTCAGGGCAAAAATTCTCACACAACTGAGCCAGTGCAGGAGAGCCCTGAGGAAAACAAGATATTGTAGACGCAGAAGGGCTGATGAGAGCTCGGAACCCATGAGATCTGGGATCCTCAGAATGGCTCAGAGCCAGGACTGTGGCATTAGGTCACAGCAGGCTGTCTTCTGTGTGGTCCAGCACATCCAGGCAGGTAATGCTAGCCAGACAAGCAAGAGGGTGGATGTGGGTATCCCTTTAAGACCAGGGGATTGGGCTGGGACACAGGGAGGGGGCTGCTCATCACCATGGTAAGAAGACAGCAGGCTGTAGAGTGGGTGCTGGGGGAGGATGTGGAGTGGGTAAGCAGAGCAGGTGTTGGGGAGGGGGGAATGTGCCAGGGCAGGGTGAGATCATGTATTTGCTAGTCCCCTTCCTGTGGGGAGTAAGCTTGTTTGGGTGTTTTGGCCCTGAATCTGCACCCAGGCAAGGAGGTGGGCAATGCTGGCCTGTTCCACGGTAGAAAATTCCAGGCTGGGGCAAACTCCAGGCCTCATGGGGTCTAGCCTTCCTTCTCCCCACCCCCTCCCAGGACTCACTTCAGGACTCTGGGGTACTTGCTACTCCTTGCAGTCCTCAGTAGGCCTTTTTGTAACATCAGTTCTAGCTCTGGATGCCCTCAATCTCCAGCAGGAAAGCAGAGTCCCTTTAGCCCACCCTCTCCCTTCCAACATCCTCTGGACTGTACTGGGGAGGTGCCTGGGGCCCCAAAGGTCAGCTGAAACAGTACCTCCTAAGGGGGAGCAGCCTCAGTACCCTCTCCCAAAGCTTGTGCCTAACACCTTGGATTCTGGGCCACTCTCCCTGCTTACCTCAGTGCATACCCTCTCGCAAAGGAGGCTGAAGCTGCTCTCCTGTCAAAGCAGAACTTACTGAGAACCCAGGAAGGCTAAGGATCAACACTCCCAAGGCCCATGCACGCTCCAAATTCCTCAAGGTAGGAGTCAGTAGAAGGGGGTGGCTGCTTGGTTAAAGAGGTGAGCACACCCCACTCCCGCTGCACCCCACTCCCGCTGCAGCCGCCCCGCCTCCCTCTGCCTGGCTCTTGTAGGATGCTAGAAGTACCTGGATGACTAAGGGAGGGAGGGAGGACATAAGAAAGGCGGGGGTGGGGGTGGAGTTGAGGAACAGGAGAAGGAGGCAAGGAAATACGTACTGAAAAGGAAGAAAAAGGAGTGAAAGGAAGGAAGTACTGAAAGGTGAGGGAGGGAAGGAAGAAGAGGAAGGGGTAGAGGGAAGAAAGGAGAACTAGAGGGGAGAAAGATGAGAGGGGGGAGGAAGGCAGAAGCCCTCGACTGGCAGAGAGGCTCTAAGGAGCAAGCACAGCCAACCAGCCTCAGTGATCCCATACAGGTGTCTGAGTAGAAAGATGGACAGGACAGGGGGCAACTCACCCCCAGCCGAATTATCCAGCTCTGCCTTGTGGAGTGCTGACCTTCCGTCCCCAAAGGCGCGCTGGGCGGGGCGCCTCCCCCCCACCCCCGCGATTGTCAGAACAACCCCCGTCTTCTCCTTAATAAAGGGCCGCGACGTCCTCGCGCTCCCGACCCCCCTAAGTCTCTCCTCCAACGGCCTTGTCCCTAATTGCAACACCTGGCCACCAAGATAGGTGTCCCTGGTTCCGGAGGTGACCGCTGTGGCAGGGCTCGGCGCATCACAGCTCCACCTGCGCGGTGGCTGCGCGGCCGGGGGCGGAGAGGCGTGCAGCGGAGGGAGGGGCCTGAGACACGGCCCCGCCACGGCGCAGCCCGGCTCAGCGCCGCGCGCGTCCCCTCGCCGCCGCCACCGCCAGGCGCCCGGACGCAGCGCGAACGGAGCGGCCGGGATGCG